TTTTTTTCAATGAGATGGTTGGCAATCGCAGTTTGAAGCCAAGGAAACCGATGATGTTACCAATCAACAGAGGCTTCATGAACTATTGCGGCAGGCATATTTTACCGAGACTTGGCATGCCATGGCTATTTTTGGGATTTCATTGCCGTTCATCTCAGCCCCATGGACCGTGTTTATTTATTTATATATATATATATTTTTTTTTTAAAGGCTTCAAACCATGTGCTTGCTGGATTGTGATCACTGCAAAGCGTTACCCCAGAGGTAGCCTTTTTCATATTTCTTTTGTAGCTTATTGATCATTTGAGCTTCCCAACATCTTGCCGAACATCTAGCCAGTGTCCTGCGAAGAGTTGTGTAGTCAAGACGCCTTTTGGTCCCTGAAAGCTGGATTTCGTGAGGACTACAATGCGCGCCATCCAGAGCACCGCCTGGCAAATGCCTTGACAGTGGAATTGGCGGAGTTTCAGCAACGAGTGACCTGGACGGGATAATGAGGAGAATCACATGGCATAGCGGTACCACCACGGTCTTGAGACTCTGACAGACTTTGAGTCTAGCAAAGCACCACCATGCCGAGCATAGCACCAGCTGGCAGGCACTTCGCAACGGCTTCGTGCAGTTTGGCATGTCCAATCGGTTAAACCCCTTCACCCTCTGTGGAACAGCACCCTGCGTCCAGTCGGTGAAACAGTCCGCCCAGTCGGTCTTCAACGCGCGCGAATCGGTTTCGCAACTTCAGGGCACTGATTTTCAGGACGCACCAAACCACCGAACAATACCGACCTGAAACCTACCGAATGAACGAACCGAACCAACCGAACGAGCCGAAGGTTTGCCACGGGCAGGATAGCGACAGTGCTGAGAAACGGAAGGATTCCACTCCGCGTGCTCGAACGCGCTGTTCCAGGGGGTGCAGATGGGTGCAGCATGTGGAGTGCCACAGGGAGAGCGGTGAGAACGGAAGGATTCCAACCAACCAACGCCCTGCTCAAAGCCACTGGAGCTCAAAGCCACTGCCAGGCAATCCCGCGCAACGTGCATCCGACTCCAGTTTGCCGACGAAATTGAAAGACCTTTCTTGCTCAGGCCAGGCCCCAAAAATATTTCGATGATGTTGTTGATACTGGTAATTATAATGTTGATGACAACACATGACAACAAATTGTTTCGACCTTCCATGAAAAATGGTGAACACGGGCGCGTTGGTTGTGCCACTCGGAGAGCGATTTTGTTGGACCGAAGGGCGAGTCCGACTATTTGGACAGACGTCCCGCCCGCCGCCTTGAAGAGAGAGAGAGAGAAGATATTGATTTAAGAAGAGCCGATATCAAATCTTAAAGCATGAAAATCCACATGCTTTAAGACAAGTAGGGAATCTAGAAAAGATCTTTAGACAGAAATAGCCGAGCAAGAATTTTAAAAAGGCTTGTACTGAATATAATAGTACGTAAACTGAGGTGAAATTAAGTCACGAAGTTCAGCTGCTTTATATATAAGAGTCCTGTAATCTGATTCTTTAGCGAAGAGCAAGGCAGCACAGACATGTTGCGACCGTTTGCAACCAAACTTATTTTTGCTTTCGCTTGCTGGCGGTCTGCAGAAGCAGGGACCTAGGTTTTCAAGAGTTTCAAGGTTTTGAACTTCAGGTGCCTACGACACCATCGCTGGCTCTGGCAGTGGCCATGGGGTGCCTTCAAGGCAGTTTTTGGAGCTAAAGAAGACGAACGCATACGAAAGGGCCAAAGCAAGTTTCAGCGAAGGACTCCTAAGGACATGTTTCCCTATGTTTCCAAGTATGCTTTCCATGGGTTTGGACGCCCAGGAAGTACCACTTTGCTTGGTACGAAGAAGACGGCAAAGTGGGAGACTCAGGGTCACAGTAGGAGTGTTTGAGCGATTCGAGATGGAATAAGAACATCAGCTGTCCGCTCTGCCCCCGTTGATTTGTGATTTAAGCAACAGCATACGAAGCAGGTAGAACCGGAGTGGAATATGTCGAACCCAGCAGAGCTGACAGCACCGAAAGCTAAGGAGATGGATGTGCAAAGCGTTTGGGAGGCGGCTGAGCTTTTGTGGCTCAGTATCCAGCAAGATGCTCAGGCTGTCAACTCTTCCAATGAATTTCTCTGGTCACTTGCTCCGGAGAATGATGAAAAGGTACAAGTATATAGTATACCAGGTAGTAAATGTGGGAATACATGTGATGTGTTTCCCCCAGTAACCCAAGCCCTGCGAAGCTGCACACGATGGAGGCAGTTTTGGGATCTCTCAAGAAGCTGAGGTTCAGCCAATGCGATCGCCCCGAGTTGCCCATGGAGGTGTTTTTCCAGCGCATGTGTGACTGGGCGGTCAGACCACTCACTATCCAACGGGTAATAGGAAGTTACAAACCAGCATGACGACGCCGCACAGACGGTCACCATGTGGTGCCATCATCAGTGTTGCTGTTGTTCGGTTCAAGTTGAAAGTAAGAGCCACAAGGGTGGTGGAACGTCTAAGAAGCCAAACGAAGCCATGCAAAGCAAAGCGTATTCCAGCAGGGCTGCAGGGGCTGGCCATGCTTCTCACCAATGCAGCATCAGTGCCTTCATTGCTTCGTTTGGATGAAGGTCTTGTTTGCATGAACGTTCCTGCGGTCTGAGCCCCACAGCACGGAAAGAAACTGTATGCACATCATGAACACGTTTTACATCGTTTCACTCATTACTCCGGCAGCTTAGGCCACGTTCGGTGGCCTTATGCCGTGCTGCTCTTTAGTGAGCTGGGCCGCGAGTTCGCGTCCAGGCACATCTCCTTCGGTCAGTTGGGATTCCAGATTGGTACGAAAGTGAAATGACTCAATGTGAGTCACTGATCCGTTGGCTTCACTCTTCTGTCGCGCCTTATTGATGCAGTCGTGCAATGGCTCTTTCCAGGTATCTCACAGAAGAAGCAGCAAACACCTTGGAAAGGCCACCGGCCAGCGCTGCCTCGTTCTTGGAATTGAACTTGTTGGTTGGTGTGTTGGATTCTGTGAATTTTATTTGGCACTAGTGCAGCGCAGGGCGATCAGCAGCTTTGATGCTATGAAGCGCCTACCGCACTATTCGCAGACGTCGTGGCAAAGCCCTTACGACATGAACTTTAACGAGGAGTGGTTCCCTAGCACCACGACTGGCCCCGTTTGGGACAAATCCATGGCACCTTGACAAATCCATGGCTCCATGATCCATGATGCTAGGGATCTTTCTTGTGCTTCCAGATTGTTTTAACCGTTTAAACATGTTTAAACCATTTTAAACAACTTTATTCCAAATATTAGCGGCCAGATTAGGGCTGCCAAAGGCTGCCAGTCCTGCAGACCAAGATGGACCCTGAAACCCATTGCATTGTAGAGGAAACCAGCTGTTTGGTGGTCTATTTTCAGGGTCCGTGTTACTTTCCTGACCCTGTGCTGAGAACTGAGGTGCCTTTAGCACAGCTGGTGGAGGCCAACTTCCACGTGTTTCGCACAGAGCTGGAATCGCTTTCAGAAGACCAAGGCGGAAGAAACTGTTCATCGAAACCATACGATCAACTAAAATATACACATTTATTCTCATTGATCTTGCGGTTCTGTAGCTTTCAGCAAAGCATTCAATCATCCACATTGTTTGATTTATCTAACCTAATTATTTGATTGATCTCCGTGGCCAGCCCTGGCTCTTTTTGGCCCTGCACATTTCCTGGTCAGACAATCGCTGCTAGTGTTTAGAGGGCGGGCTCAAAGCAGAAGACTGGGTGCAGGTCTTTTTGATGAGCTGTCCTTCGAGCACTCCAGGGTGGAGGAGACCAGCTTGTCCAAGAGTTTGATTTGTGAATCTTCCAAAGGCATGAAATCAGATCGGGACATAGGAGCACAAAAACCATGACCGACCATCTTTTTGCACATTGTTGTGGGTCTTTTTGCACTACCCCTTTTTTTTCCTCCACCCGTGGCCTCCTCTGGATCGCCAGGGGCAAGACTCCTGGCCGGAGGGTGCCTGGCGTGCTGTCCACCTCCGACAGGCCACGGGTGGATGGCTGAGCCGCGCCTGTGATCGAACGCCCCAGACCTGCGCCGTGTTGGCGGCCCGGCCGGAGCTGAGCTGCAGTCGGGCGGGTGCTGCACTGGTGAGGCGAGAGACTCGGAAGAGCCAATGGGGAAGGGAGATCTCGCTATGACCATCTATTGACTTTTAGAGATTGACTCAGAATTGTTGCTTTTGCATTTCTTCACCCACTTCAATATACTTCGACATCCGTTTCTCCAGAATCTCTTTCTCTTGGCAGGCTTCGACCGGGTGGGCGCCTGAAGCCCCATTTCGGCCTCTTGTCATTTGGGGCGCGGCGAGGCTTTTGATCCGCTGAGCTGTGGTTTTCCACTGCGCTCCACTTTGGGCGCTCCGTATGAGAAAATGGAATTGCCCATGTTTGCTTTTCAGTTTCAGTTATATAGGATCGGCATGGATAGGCCACCAGCAAGAATGTCAAGCACGGGCGATCTTGCGCTTAGGCAGTCTTCGTTCAAGCCTCGAATTCGGAAAGACATATAGATAGTAGAGGCAAGATATATAGTCCCTATGGACGGGGGCGGGGGGGGCTCACCTTTTCTATGGATTTTATTTTTTTTCCATTTCTCCTTGAAACTGGCTACCTTGTTTCTCGGTCTTACCTCTCAATGAGCTCTTACGCGTGTCTTCCGTGACACCGCTCCTGAGGTCCTTCTCCTCACCTGCAGCTGCACATTCCCGTGCAAGCTGATGTGGGGGCGCGGATGAGCGTGGGGAATAGGCGAAGCGAGAAACGCTCACAGCACCTGACCTCAAGAGCGAAGGCTTTCCATGAAAAGGTAATCCTTGCAGAAACAATCCAAGTTTCAAGCATGACACGCGCAGAAGACGCAAAACAACACAGGAATGCTGATGAGATGCTGTCACAGGTGTCTGTTTTTTGATCAAGCAAGTCGATCAACATGTTGGAAATATGATATACAGTATATATGTTTACTGTAACTGTATATAGATTCAACATGACTCAACATCGAAGTACCTCAATCTCTTATCCCCACACACTCCGTTCCAGGACTCTGAGCTGGCAGACGGGAGAGGCCTTAGTCATTGATGGCAGCTTCATTCGTCAGGACTTCAGCTGGCTGTAGACATAGAATTACAGTTGTTTCCACCTACCGAATTCAAGGAATTGACGCTGTTTGGGGTCTATGCTGTGATGTTGTTTTCTGACTTACCTATCATATCCTATCATGATCATATATATATATATACACAATGTTTTTATATTGTTGGCCTTAGCGGACTTGGGTCTTGAACATCATCCTCGGTCGCAAGCACACTTGAGCTTCGCTTCTGAGCTGTTTCAGCTTCTTTCTCGCATGGTCGCAGGAGTGGCACAATGGGGTGCGGGGTGAACACTTCGTCCTGCAGGCGATCGCCTAGAGAGGAAAGACGCGTCATCCACCTGTACCAAGTCCGAGTGTTTTCTGTGAAAAAGACGGGACGAGTTTCGCACGGCTTTTGGTTTGATGAACGGCTTCGCAGGTGACCTTGTGCCACCCGTGCGAAGAAGCTCAGAAACCTCTCTACGGCCCACTAGCTTGTGGATCCAGGCCCACCTCAAGGAATAACCATGGGTAAGTGTCCCCAATGATTGGTAATCATGCACTCCGGACAGGCCTGTTACTCGCATGATCTCACATGCGTCATGCATTGCAGTTCGCAGAGTTTCCCACTGTTCCTCTTTCCATCTGAAGCCGTTTGCTGAAAAAAGATGCCAATCAGGCCCGGCTTGTCAAGTCCAAGCGCTGCCCAGCCAGTGAAGTATCAGGCCGTCAGCAAACTTTTAGTTTGGGGTGATCGAACACTGAAATTCGAACACTGTAAATACATGTCCATCTTTTTCTTCTTCAGTGGCCTGCACGACCAGAAAAAGCTGTGTCCATGTGAAGTATGTACGATCCAGGACGCCTCCACACTGCCAGTGCCTTTTGCCCAAGCTGCACTGTGGGCCAGTGCCTTACCCGACTTGGCCAAGTGCAGTGCCTTGGCGGAGACTCTGAGGTCGGACCATCAAGTCCACAGAGAAAATCTGAGGACATCTCAAGCACTTCGAAAGCAGAACCATAAATCGATATTACTTGGTACTTCTATCTTGGATTTGACCACTAAGATGCTTTGGGAACAAAAACCTTATTTCTTTTCTGTGCACATTTGTCTGTTGGTGGGCTCGAGGTAGCATCAGTGAGCAGTGCCCTCCAGATTCGCAGCATGGTGGTCCAAATCCCCTGAGACGCTTGGCACCAAGGGGTTGTTGTGGGACATAGTGAAGTCTCTTCCAGACTCTACGCAGACTGCCGCAGACTCGAATTTTGATATAGAGCTTTTGATGAGTCGCTTGGTGTTGTGGTCTTTCGATTCCACTCTCCAGGTGCCCTGAACACCTGGAATTATGTCATGAACAATCTGCGGGGTGCACTTCGCCACACTCAGCATGGCAACATCGATCCGGCAGTGATGACCGCCATCGGCCAGGTAGGATAAAACAATTTTCACTTATGCACTTTGGACATATTGAACGTCCTTTTTTGAAGAGTCTTTGAGGGATGAATTGTTCATCATACAATATGTTTGGCTTGGTAGGTTGGCTCCTGTGTTCCACGGTGTCCAGCTTGACCAGGTGCAAGAAGGGATCCAGAGCTTTTTGGCCATGCCTACACTGGAACAGTATGGTCCAATCATTGCCCTCGCCACACAAATCCTTGAAGCGCTGACGTGAGGAGCTTACGAACCAATACCTGTCTGATGGTGCTGGGTAGCCTGCTAGTGTTGATTGTCGTGCATGTCGTTCACGCCAGCAAGTGCATGTCGTAGCCCGGATCACGTGCTGTGTGCAAACACTTTTTCGGATCATTCTTGTTGCGGATTGTGTTGCACATTCTTTTCAATCAATCTGTGCATATCTGTGCCTTGCAAGCGTTGCCGACTGCTCAGGCCATGGCTGCAGCAACAGCATCCTGCCATGGTGCGCTTCTCCTTTGCTTCTGGCCGTTCTGGGCGCCCCTTTGTTCCTGCAGATAGCCGGAATCCAGGAAGTTTGGTCTTCAGGCACCAACATTTCACACGTGATTTTCACATTGTCTACTCAGCCTACCCTCTCTATTGGGTTGCAATTGCTTTCACATGGGAGCTTCGTGTCTCAACAGGCTATCCAATGGCATCGAGATGCCAGCTATCGGCTTCGGCACGTGGAAGCTTGAGGGCGAGGAGACGAATCCGCGTCGACGTGGAGTGCAGTCTCGAAGAGTCTGACTGTGTGGATCGCAAAAGCAGTGCAGTCTTCAAGCTTCTATGCTAAATTACCGCTTTTTTCTCGTTTTGGCAATCATTCTTCAGTGGTTCCGTGGTCAGTGTGCCGGAGGGAGGAAGCTGATTGGAAGCTGTAAACGTTCGGATTCGGTGTAAGTTTGTAATATATATATATCTTTATACATATAATGGACACATATGCTCCATTGAAGGTATATAAGGATTATAAGGGTTCCTAGGTACAAATTGGTTGTACCCGGTTCTGCGAACGGGTTTGTTCCATTGCGTCGAGCCGGTAGGCCTGTTACAGAACGGTGCTTGCAGCATTGCAGAAGCTTGGACCAGAGATTTTGGCATTAAGAAGTCAGTCTCTGTGTAGCACATCCATGTTGCAATACCTTTTGGGCTTGGTTGTTGCATGCTGCATAGGCTGGGGCTTCGTCACATAGATACCGCTGAAGCGTATCAAAACGAAGCCGAGATAGGCCAGAATGTGACTCTCACTGTCTTTTGAAGTGCATCCAGCAATGATTTATTGATTGCTGTGGTGGTGGTGGTGGATGTGGATGTGGATGTGGATGTGGATGCAGCAAAGAACATTTCATTCAAAGCTCATTTAGGTCCCGGTTCGAGGCCGTGCCATCCATGATAGCCGAATCCCTCGGGAGCACCTTTTCATTGCTACAAAAGCCACCAGTGTGGCACTGGGCATGGCGGAGGCTTCGCAACATGGCTGCAACTCTTGATGAGATTTACTGACTTTGCTCGAAACTATACAGTTTCGGTCAGCTTACCAAACATGTATGACATGACTGGCTGGTCACTGACTTTGAGATGTCAATTCTGCAGCTTTGGACGCTACAGCAAAGAGGTTTCCTTCCAGCAATACCGATTTGAAGCCTGAGGTATTTGGACGCCATTCTGGCAGGTCAGCTGAATGCCTTGCAGACGGAATATCTAGACTCTCGGTGTTGAGGATGAAGGACAGGAGAGGGGTCGTGGGATGGCATGTCATTCATGCATTCTTCCCTTCGTTTGAAGGTGGTATTTTATTCATTATCTTTCCAATTTCAACTGAACTTTGAGATTCCTTGAGACCGACAGAAAAGCTCAATTGCCTGTCTTCTGTCCATAGTGACTTGGGCTGTGACGCTCAGGATGTGTACATGCTACATGCAGCTGGAGTCGAAGAAGAGAAGCTGCAGCAGGTCTGGAGGAGGGCCCCAATCGACCGTTTTGAAGCATCAAGCCCTCATCAGACAGATCGAATGCGCGTAGACCCATCTAGACAATGTAGACCCTTCAAAGGTGAAGCCGGTGAAGTTTGAAGGTCCCTTATGGAACCCCGAAACACATTTCCAAACGCAAGGAGTATGGAGCGCCTAGTGGATCTTGGCCGTGTGCGAGCCTTAGGTGTCTCCAACTTTGGCATTCAGGACCGCCAGAGCCTTCAGAGTTTTGGTCATACAGTTGTCCTATGTTATGACGTACCCACCGCGAAAGGTTGTTGACACAGCCCAATGTGCTTGGGCAGAACAAGAAGCTACCAGGGCTCCTGGCGTTACTACTACAAGTAGGAACAATAAAGCTACTATTTTCTACTTTCTTTTTCACAGCCCATTTGGCTCCACTTGGGCGGCCAGATTTTATCGACATTGGAGGAGCTCGAGAGCCTGTGGTCCTTCGCTCGAGTGAAGCCAGTCTATTTGCAAAATATATTCAAGGTCTACAAGCAGCTCATATGCAAAAAAGAACAGTCAAGGAATCATTGGAATGTAACCCTAAGTCATTGCGTGTAATAGCTTCATAAGTTTCCTCGCTTTATGGTCAAACACATGTGTATTCAGCTCGCTTCGCGGCGACAACTGTCCGCACCATTTGCTCTGAGAGAGAGCGCAAGGAAAGAATTGCACAGTACCGTTCATCCACTGCATAGTACCGTCATGTACCGTTCATCTTTCAGGTCGTGTGTTGTAGTCACTTTTTGTTGACACCCTTGAACTTGTACAATTGTTAGGGGGCAAATATATATGGCAAATTTCATATTTCCCAAATACTTCTTGTATTCATCCACTGCATTCTGTCGTTCATCTCCAGGTCATATCTCGATCACACATATTGTATAGTTTATTGCCATCACCTTTTTTTCGGCTAGTTTTCGACGCCCTTGAACATGTACTACCACTACCACTACTGCCACTACTATGACCACTGCTGTTGCTGCGACTGCTGCTACTACTGCTTCTACTACAACTGGAATATTTTTTGGATCTATTACTTGATTACTTATCTATTTATACACTAGGAATGACTTTTCTTGATGCGTTCATTCCTTGTTGCTTGTTGCTCGTTGTTTGCTTGTTACTTTGTGTGTGTTTGTGATTTGCTTGTAATTTTGCTCATTTTTGCTTGTGTGTTTTTGCAACCGAACAGACATAACCAAACAAAGATAGTTTAAGTGCAACCATGTGAGAACACACTTTTCAGATCAAGCGCCACCATTTTAGCTAGCCGCAGGATGACAAGACCTGCATGCAAACTACTTGTTTTGGGATGCTTCTGGTGGAAGGTGCTGACACCTTGCAAGTCAAATGCCACCATCTTAGCTATCCCAAAGTACGACACGACCTACTCGCACTACCTGTATTCAGATGCTTCTGCGGGGAGCCCTCCCCCCAACCCCCCCAGCTTATTGTGGGGAACAGCCCACAAAAACAAAAACAACAAGCCCAAAAACCATCAAAAGCAAGACAAAAAAACAGAAAATGCGAAGCGAAACAAAATAGAACCAACCAAACAAACAATACTGCTATTCCCTGCTGCTGCTGCTGCTACTGTTACTGCTACTGCTACTGCTACTGCTACTGCTGCTCCTACACTACCACTACCACTACCACTACCACTACCACTACCACTACCACTA